TATATATATATTATATTTTATACAGACCCTTTCCAAAAAATTAGAATATCATGGAAAAGTTGTTTAACTTCCATAATTCTATTCAAAAAGTTAATATTTAATAGAGGATAGATTCAGGGCCCACAATTTAAATGATTTTAAGTATGCATTGGTTTATTTTTACATAATTTGGTCTTCCAGCTCATGAAACCCACGAAAACAGGATAAAAAATAAAAAATAAAAAAATAGAATACTGTGGAGAAATAAGCCCAAATTTTGCAGGGCATGAATGTTTTAAACTGAGTGTGACACAGTAATCATCTACTACAGTGATCTCCAACCACCGGGCCGTGGACGGGTACCGGGCTGTGAATCAATTTATACCGGGCTGAACAGAAAACAAAAACAAAAAAACAACTTTTATTTTGAAAAATCACAGGATTATCTCCACCACATCTGTCAATGAGTCACTCTTGCTGCAGGTCAACATACACAAGAGACGCTGAGACGCTCCAGACCGGTTCAAAAGAAAGTTAAATGTTGGATCCAGGACAGTGGCCCCATACTGAGAGATTGTTTTGACCGAACAGACTGGCAGGTTTTCAGAGAAGCTGCTGAAAATGGAGGTTCGCTTGATCTTGACCAATACACATCCTCAGTACTGGGTTACATTAGTACATGTACTGACACAGTCTCCACTATCAGAAATGTTAAAAGCTACCCAAACAGAAAACCTTGGCTGAATGCAGAGGTGCGTACCCTGCTGGAAGCCAGGAACACTGCCTTCAGGTCTGGAAACTCAGAGGAGCTGAGTAGGACAAGAAAAGAGCTGGTTGCTGGTATTAAGAGGGCCAAGGCCGCATATGCAAAGAGGATCGAGGGTCAATTCATCTCACAAGACCCTCGGAGCATGTGGAGGGGCATTAAGTGCATAACAGATTATAAAGGAAGGAGTGAACAATGTCCCAAAGACCCATCTCTGCCTGATGCCCTCAACAAGTTCTATGCACGCTTTGAAGACCCGAACTGACCACCCAGCACCAGACTCACCTCACCACCGGATGAAGAGCATCTCAGCGTGACCTCAGCAGAAGTAAGGAGTACCTTCAGGAGGATTAATCCGCACAAAGCAACTGGCCCAGACAACATCCCCGGAAAAGTGTTGAAGGAATGTGCTGATCAGCTCTGTGAGGTGCTGGCAGACATCTTTAACACCTCACTTACCCTGGAGACAGTTCCCACCTGCCTGAAGACTGCCACCATCATCCCAGTCCCAAAAAGCTCTACAGTGACTGGTCTGAATGACTATCGGCCAGTGGCCCTCACCCCGATAGTCGCTAAATGCTTCGAAAAACTGGTCATGACTCACATCAAAACAACCATCAACATCAACGAGGACCCTCATCAGTACGCATACCGTGAGAACCGATCAACAGAGGATGCAATCTCCTCTGTGGTCCACACTGCACTCAACCACCTGGAGCAGAAAAACTCTTACGTCCGTATGCTCTTTGTGGACTTCACATCCGCCTTCAACACCATGATCCCCCAAACCCTGATGGACAAACTATCCACACTAGGACTAAGCCCCTCCATCTGCAACTGGGTACTAGACTTTTTAACAAACAGACCACAGTTAGTGAGGATCCACAACCTCTCCTCCTCCACCATAACCCTCAGCACTGGCTCTCCTCAGGGATGTGTGTTGAGCCCCCTCCTGTTTACTCTGCTCACATATGATTGTGCAGCTACCCATCCAGGCTGTCACATTGTAAAGTTTGCAGATGATACAGCGGTGGTGGGATGCATCACAAACAATGATGAGTCCAGCTACAGGCAGGAGGTGGAACACCTGGAGAGCTGGTGCAGAGAGAATAACCTTCACATCAATGTGAAG